AAAAGGAGGAGACTCACACACTGTTGTTGGGAATGTAAATCGGTCAACCGTTATGAAGAAGTGTATGGAGCTTCTTCAAGAAATTAAAAATGCAATTACCACATGGATCAGCAATCCCACATGGAGGAAACTAAAAGAATTGAAAGCAAGATCTCGATGATAGGTGCACACCCATGCTCAGTGCAGCATTATTCATAACAGCCACGTGATAGAAGCAGCCCAAATGTCCACTGATGGATGAATGGAGAAAGAAAGCGTAGTATACACATAACACTGTAATATTATTCAGCCAGAAAAAGGAAGGAAATCCTACCACCTACTACAATATGGATGAGACTCCAGGACATTATGCTAAGTGAAATAAGCCAGTCATACATACGAAGTAAAAATAAGACTGTATGATTCCACTTATATGAAGTATCCAAAGTAGTAAAAGTGATAGACAGAACAAGTAGAAGAGTGATTGCTCAGGGTTGAGGGGAAAGAGGAAAAGGGGAATTATTGTTCAGTGAGTTGAGTTCCAGTTTTACAAGCAGAAAGTTCTAGATACCTTTTGGGCAACAATGTGATAGCACTCCTAGCCTGTGTGCTTAAATTGGTAAGGTGCATCATCTAGTTAAGGCAAGCGTAAGATGCGAGATAGTGTAAGATTCCCACTATATGACAATTTCGAAAAAGCAAAATTATACAGACAGTAAATACATCAGTGGTTGACAGGGTTTAGGGGGAAGGAAGGATGGATAGGGGGAGCACAGAGGATTTTGAAGGAAGTGAAACTCTTCTGTATAACTCCATAATGGTTGATACGTGTCATTCTATACGTCTCCAAACTCCTAAAATGCACATCATCAAGAGTAAACCTAGACCACCCCACTGAGGGCTTTTGCAAATGAGAGAGTCCATGAACTGCTCCTGCATTGACACATAGGAGGGGAATACAGCATATATCGGTGCTATGTCTGAGTTTTGCTACGAACCTAAAACCGCTCTAAGAAAGTAGTCGATTTTTTGAACGTG